AGTGTTCCCTTGCTCTGTTCTGACGACTGCCTCCTGGTCCAAGTATAAGTTTCGCATTAGAACGATCAAGTGTTCTGGGATTCCCATTATTATAAAACCAAAGTCTAGACTGATGGGCATATAAACCAAAAAAACAATCAATATGGTGATGTAGGTATGTGCTGATGTGTAAAAGGCGTTTGATAAAATAAAAAGTTTAGATCTGATAAAAACTGAGTGAAAATCAATGGAAATGTCATTGACATGATTAAAAATACGGTATCAAACCTGGAGTCACTTCTAAATAAAAAAGACAGTCCCCATCTAGTGAGAAACTAGGAAAGTTGCCTTCTCTGGTAGTTTTTAATTTTACAATGTTCTGAAAATTTTAGTCAAGATGATGAGAAATGAAAGAGAACCCTTTGAGGTTTTAAACCAGAAAATTGGAGATGAAATTGTCATGATATATTTTTCATATGACCAAGTTCCTCAAAAAACCAAGAGAATCAACAAAACACTTCCCCTATTAAAATTAATTAGATGAGTGGGTAGTAATGTGGACAAGAGAACCTGAATAGAACTAAATACAATTATGCCCCTATGATACTTTCTGCTCTTGGTCAAATGATTCCCACTGTCAAGTAAACATCAAAGCTCCTCATCCCCAAAGGATTTCTGCTTTTCACTCTCCAAAGTCACTTCAGATACCTATATGATGAAATGTGGCAGAGATGTTTTTACTGTGTTCTATTTTAGTTAAAGAAGTCCTGATGGTGTATTTTGTAGTGTGTTGGGTTCCTAACCAAAAGATTAGCAGTTGGAATTCACCTGTTGAGGACAAAGATGGGCAGTTTCCTCCTGTATAGAGTTACCCAATGGAGGATCAGTTTGAGTCAGAACTGGCACCATGGCAATGAGTTTGGGTTTTGTGTTTTTGGGTTTTTTACATGTTTTTCTTACCATTGTTTTGGAGGACAGAAAAAAACAAGCCATTTCAAGCAGACAAGAGAATAAGGTGGAGGATGTGCAATACCTTGCTTTTAATGGGTAGCTACCTGTGGGGAGTTCAGCTACCACTGCACATGAAAGAGAAATCAAGAATTCCAGCAATGTTCTATAGCAGCATCATTCACCATCACAAGAACATGGAAACAGCCCAGATTTCCAACCACAATTGAACCAATTGGGAAACTCTGGTAGCATGCAGGAGCAATGATTTAGGAAATTACTATCTAACTTGGGAGGGACTGGAGCATTATGCCAACCAAGTGAATAAACTTAGTCCCTTAAAGATAAGTACTTTCTGAGACCATTATTGTAGAAATAGAAAGATAAATGGTAAAACAGGTATGAGGATCCAAAGGGAGGGGGAGGGTAGTAGCAGAGGGGTGAGGTTGGCCAGGGAAGTTATCACAGGGTCACACAATTTGATTGATAGAGGGAGTGGTGGGTAAAAGAAATGGGAAAGATCTGGTGTGAAAAACAATGTATACAAACTTTGTAGGCAAACCAGTATAAAAAGAAAAGTTTATTAAAAATAAAAAAGAAATCAAATAATGAAGCTGAGGAGATAAACAAGGGCCAGGTATGGATGAATGGCCATTAAACTCCAGGCATAAAAATGTGTATATTATTTTATAAGACACAAACCACTGCAGGGACTTAAGTGTGGATTTAAATAATGAATTCATAGTTATGCTGAACATTTAATGATTATAATTGTTGGACTTTTAATAATAGTTACAATGGGAAATTCTTATGTTGGGAATCCTTGGTTCTCTGATCATTGAGGTGAATTGAGAAAATAAGAAGTCAAGGATAGTGATGAAATCAAGAGGCATATACTTAAAATGTGGAACATATAAGCCGTTCATTAAGTATTTGTTGTTTCGACTGACCCTTTTCATGTATTTGTCTATTTGTTGGCCATCTGAATTATCATATGAATTGTCATGTACAACTCACTGAAAGAAACATCTTCTGGAAGAAAAACATTTGAATGGGTGTTTTGATTAGAATAATCTTAATTCTGAAAGTGTCCATAATAATGTAAGATATTCATTTGCTTTCAGTTACCTTCACATCCAAGCTTTTAGAAACCATTTCCAGGGAAGACAGGAGTTCTTGAATTGTGTTCTCAATTCGCCGGCATTCCTGCCTAATGAAGTGAAGGTCTCCGGAAAGCTTCACAATGCTTGAATCACATCTGGTGGTAAGAGGAAAACTTGTGAGATAAGCAGGCTCATAACATTTTAATACTACTGCAGAACCTGTAATTAGTTTGATTTGAAGCATTTTAAAGTTCTTTATTTTCCTCCTGGTGCCTCGTGGTGAGAAGCTCTGCTGTGATCCCAAAGACACATGGTCCACCAGCTACTTGAGGGAGAAGGATATACAATCTCCTTCTGTGCACTTAACTGCCTCTGGAAAACCATCGAAAAGTCCCTTATGGGTCAGTTCTGACTCAAAGGCACACAACAACAATAATCTCTATTAATCTTCCAAGATTGAGTCTGTGTAAACTTTTCCTTGGTTTTTTATATTGTTTTTATGTACTATCTAGTGGGCATCAACTTAGAGCTGACATGACAGAAGCAGTAAATGACAAGGGAGGAGGTTGCCCTTTTTTTTTTCTCCCTTAGAGGAGCTTGTGGATTCAATCTGTGTGCCTCTGTGTTCACAGTACAACTCCTTACCTCTAAGCCATCAGAGCTCCTTATGTCAGTGGTCATATATTGTATTGTTCTTTTATTTGTTTTCAATTCTTCCATGTTGTGCAGTATTTCACAAATTCTTGATTATTTTTTATTAAAACTTCACTGTGTGAAGGTACCACCAATATTTTTAGCCATTTGTCTATTGATGGAGACTTACTTAGGTTGCTTCCAACTCTTTTTGTATTATGAATAATGGAGCAATATATATGGGACGCGCTTGCTGCAGAGGGTCCAGGACTGCAGCCTCCGATATGGATTGAGGCTCAATGTCAAGAAGACAAAGATTCTCACCACTGGACCAATTGGCAGCATCAGGATGGATGGTGAAGAGA